AAATGGCTGTTATTTCAAATAGCGTACCATATTTTAAACTAATCGGTTAACCGGTTTCAACCGGCTACTGAGGCTCGGTGGTCGGTCAAGAAATTTTTTAGTTTTCGCCATCCCTAGTTACAATGTAGGGTGGGGGGCATGCTGAAAAACCCTGGCGTGGTGCAGTTTTTTGGAATTGAAAGGAAAATTTTGAAAAAGTTTGAAGTTATTAAGATCATTGACTGAAAACTCCAACAAAGAAATTTCTTGTAGTACAGAAGTGGGGTTTGCTGCTCAACTGATCTAACAGTGGTTCTGAGGTCTGGGGTTAGACAGCTTTACAATGAATTACATTTTTTAGATAATATACCAGGATAGTGTGAATTGTGGTCATCTATGCATTTGGTCTCATGAGATCTGTCACAAAATATGCACTTCTGAGCCGAAGATGTACATTTGTTCATTGTGGATGTATGACAGTAATTCAGCAGCCGTCTTAGATTCGACCATAACTGCTTTACATTGCAAGGTCACATTTACCCTGTAGCCAGCACAGGGAACAACCCAAAACGTAGGGCAGGCCATGAAACACACACATACACACACACACACACATGTAGGATATACATCTTCTTATGGGGACCGCTCATTCATTTCAATGGGAAAAATGCTAATGCTAACTATGACAACCTTAACCCCTACCCTGCCCTAACCATAATTAACCTAACAAAATTTTAGCATTTTTAGTTTTTTCATAGCAGTCACCGATTTTTATAAAATAACTCAATTTTTTTTCCCCATAAGGGAAAAAAAACTGATATTTATCACGTTATGGGGACATTATGTCCCCATAAGGATAGGTAAACCTGGTCGCACGCACAAACACACACACACACACACACACACATATTTATATACATATCTTTGTGAGGACCATCCATTCATTTCTATGGGGGGAAACCCAAATTCAAAACAGTGACAACCATAACTCCTACCCAGCCCGAACCTTAACCACAAATAACAAAACAAAATACAAAAATTTTTAGTTTTGGTTGCAGCCACGGATTTTTATAAAATTGAATTTCCCCTTGTAGAGACTGAACAAATGGTCCCCACAACATCAAAACAACAGGTTTTTATCACATTGTGGGGACACTAGGTGCCCACAATGTAATATATACATAACACAAACACACTCACACATAAACTAAATTTGGAGAGAGAAACTTAAATCAAATCTTTCGGGTGAGGGAAGAAGCCCAGATGAAGATGGGGACAACCTGCAAACTCAGGGTTACGTGGAGCGTCAGAGAAGTCAGAGAACTTATTTCAACTGGAAATTTCTGCATGCATAGTTGTGCAATGTTTTGTTTTGCCACAACTGTAAAGCACATGATTTATAATCACGGTGTGCGGCCAATATGCTGCCTCCTCCAGCTCTGATGTCACTTTACAACTCAACAGTTACATTTTTCTTTTTTAATGAAAATCAGCAATGAATGATGATAAATGAATAAACACTATGTGGTTTATGGTTCTGTAATAGGACAAAACCCAATATCTTGCAATAATTTTTAAAATAATTTTTTTCACATTCATAACGAAATTAGGACAAAACTTAAGCAACTTAGAAACATAATGCTTAGAGATTGACGGATAGATTGAAATAGTGATAGTGGGAGGAAAAGAGCGATAGTAGCAGAAATAGCAAGTTTGGGAGAACAAGATGTCCTTCAGTGGTCAGTTCCTCTTTCTGGCTGCACATCAGCTTTTGTTGTGCTGAGCTTCCTTTGTACAGTAGGAGCAGTGCCAGCTGAGCTCTGTGGGGCTTTGGGTGCCCATGGGCCATCGCTGGTTTGTGGTAGTTGGGTGCCCCCCCAATCCTGCTCTCTCACCAGGCACTGTTGCCCATTGCTGCTTCAAATGCAGCTATTTAAGAAGTCATCCTACCGTGTTGAAATTTCCGACTGTAGCCAAATCAATATGTATCGAAATTTTTTACTTTTTTCTGCTGTCTGAAGATGCTACCAACTGTGTTTTATTGCATCCACACTTTGTAAACCATAAATCAATAGTTAGCATATTCTGATAGTGTGAGAAACGTGGGAGAAAAACTATAGGTGATGTATGTGATTGTGCCTGTGACCATTTGTCACACATTGTGGACCATAGCATACAGTACTTGTGCATTGTTCTGGCATAATGTTTTTTCATAACACATTGAGCCTAAACATAGGTCTGTCTGTCTTAAACAGCCTCAAGTTGACTTCATACAATGTAATTAAAAAAATAACAAATTAAATGAATGGAGAATAGACTGCAGCAGATATAGTATCATACCCACTAATTCATGCTGTGAATGACAATTAAACTGTAACTGGGACATGCACAATAGGACGACTGGATAGATGGCATGAAATGATAGAAAAACTGCCATCCGCTACCCCTGTCTGTACACCAAATCAACCTCCAACATTGTTAGCTTTTAAGAAACTTTTTAACTGGGAAATGCTGATATAGGTTATTAAATCAATAATAAAGCATATTGTTGTTGTTTCCTTGGTTTGTGTAATCTCTAGAAGTTGAAGTAGAAGAATTTCAACTGGAAATTTCTGCATGCATAGTTGTGCAATGTTTTGTTTTGCCACAACTGTAAAGCACATGATTTATAATCACGGTGTCCAAGAGATAAGTTTCCCTCGTGTTAAATATCAAGAATTGATACTGAAAAAAGAGAAGTGAAGTGTGTAAATATTTTGTGATGAGCATCATGGAGGTGGGTGGAAATGACATCAAAAGCATTTTCCATTGGACTAAAAAAGTGACAGGGTCAAATTGTCTGAAATCTCAGCCCAAAACAGTACAGGCTTTGGACATCCATATATATGTGATGTGTCGGCTGTACGTGTAATATAAATTTTACAGTGTAATAAATCACAAAATCGACACAAAATTGCTTCTTTAAATACTTTTCAATCAGTTAAACAGCTCATGCTGAAAAAGGATTGGCTGTGACAGATGGTTTCTCATATATAATCCTGGGGAGATGTATGTGTGATAAAAAATGTAAGGGGAAAGAAACTCATTGTTCACTGCCTGGGCCTCTTCCTGTCCAGTCAATGCAGAAAGCTGAGTCTTTGTTCAGAATCATAAATGCTGAGGTTTATTAAGCAGACAAGAGTAATATGGGATTTTCAACAGAAGTCTCACGTGAAAATATTTAATGTTGTCTCAGGTGGTTTGAACCTAAGCAATCTGTTTACATATTTATACACTTGGAGTAATTTACTGTATATCACACACCTTGCCAAAGTGTACTACCAGATCTCTGCTAGGAAATGAAGAATGCTGAGGCTGATGATGATACATTTGTATAGAATTAATAAACAAGCATTTATTTATAAATAATAAAAAAAAATATATATAATAAATTATATATCTATAATAAAAAGTATGTATGTATGTGTGTATATATATATATATATATAAAATAAAAAAGTAAGTAAGATAGGAGTTTTTTTGATTTGGTAAGAAAATATTAGTAGCCTCCCTGTCTTCCTGTGACCAAGAAGACTTTTTTCACAAGTGATTGTTCGTAATCTTAACTTCTAGTAGTGTTGTAGTTCTCGAGACCGGTCTCAAGACCAATTTTTGTGGTCTCGGTCTTGTCTTGGTCTCGACTCTATTTGGTCTCGGTCTTGTCTTGTCTTGGTCTCGGACATAGCGGTCTCGATGGGATGGGGAAAAAAAGAGAAAACTGCACATCCTCACAGAACAGTATCATTATTTATTACGCGCCTCAATTCAAATGCAACCAGTCAGATGCATCCATTTCAAAAATGTTACATTTTATACATTTTCTTCACGGACACTGCCAGTGCTTCACAGTCCACACACATCATACACATCATATCATACATCGGCAAAGAAATTTCCGAAAATGTCCGCGAAGTCTATAGCATAGTTATAATCCAAATAAATTAGGTATTTTATATTGATTATAAAGCACGGTCTTGGTGGTGCAAGTCAATCTGGAGGCTCATTCTCTCCATTCTCTTCAATTCAAAGCAAAGGATCATTACATAGCTGTATTCATAGCTTACCCGAGGCCTCTGTCCCTGGTATAAGAGACTTAATATGAACATCTT